ATACAGTGCAGCTTCAGCTGACCTCTGGGGAAGGTTTATTTGTGCTTCTCTCTTTTCTGTTGTCTTCCACCAGTTCATCCATTTCTGCCTCTGACACTTCTCCTTGAATGTTTCTCTGTCAGATGAAGTTTAACACAGGTAAGGCTGATCCCCCCTCTTATTCTCTGGCACATCTTACCTGCCATCAGGCTGGCAAGCCACGGGACACTTGTGTTCTTCCCTCTTGTCCTCTGTAGATACATAAACTGTTCCTTAATCCTGCTCCTCTTTCTTTAAACCCTTTGTAACCTGCCCCACCTTCTCCCCCCATGCAGCTGGAAAGGTTGTGTTTCTGTAAGGTTAATCATCAGCAGGGAACTTTGCTTAAGACCTGCTGCCCTTCATCCTCTGACTCCTGCCTATCTCCTCAGCCTTCAACTTACTTTTTTCCCTTTGGTCCATCTCTTTGATTTCTTGCAAAAACCTTCAGGCACATTCTTTTAATGCTCCTATAAGCTCCTGACCACAAAGCAGCTCAAAACAGTGCCCCAAATGCTCGTGTTTGGTACAAGTTGTTCAGATCTCAGAGAAGGTTTAAGCCCAGGCAGTGTACCTGCTATCCTCTGGAAAGGAGGCGGCATGTAAGAAAGCAGCTTGCCTCAAGCAGAAACAGCATTTCCTTTTGCTTTTGCTTTTTTGATTTTTTTTTTTTTTTTTTTTTTTTAATGTATGTAGTGTCTTTCTTCTAGGAAGCAGGTGTGGGCTGTCAGAACAGCAGATTCAGTCCATCTCAAATGCAGTTTTGCCTGCTTCAGAAAAAGAGACAGCTGCTGTCTCTTATTGTCTTAAAGATTATTGAGTGGGTCTGTTGCCTGCTCCATAAAAGAAAAAGGAAGATATCTGCAAAATATCATTTACTGCTAAAGGAAAAAGAATTTTGAATAGGAAACTATTTCACTTTACCTACTATTCTTTTTTTCATGAGTTTTTGGTTTTTGTTTTTTTTTGGGTTTGTCTTTCCCCCCCTTCCTTGGGCTTCTGCCTGTAGTAGAATATAGCAGCCATGATAATTTTATCCTTGAAAACTCAGACATCAGAAATGGCAGGGTTGTTCTAAGACCTCTCACTTCCTGAAGCTGTTTGTTTCATAAAAATTGTGGCAACACTTTATATATTTTAGTGTTAACACTTCCCAAAGTATGTATGGAACCATCCAATCCCATGAGCAGGTAGTGTTGAGTCTCACTACATGTTAATCTTTTTGCTGCTAACTCTTCTAATATGTTTATGATATTTAGTCGATGAATATTATGACTTTTTTGGAAGAGGGACAGTGTTTTCCGTACAGTTTCTGTATAGCAGTTAGCACAGTGTGACTGAATCTTTACAGGAAATTTGGAAAAGTAAACTGACAGAACAACCTTACAACGGAGAAAATAGCTGATGGTTTTGATGCCTGGGGGCCAGTCCTTACTGCTTTTAGGGCTGATTGATACTGCCCTCGCTTTTCTAGTGAATACTTTGGTTTTTGTGGGGAATTTCAGCAGCTCTCTGCCAAGTTCCAGTTTCTAGACTCATCTAATGGTATTACATGGGCTTGATGTAGCTAATGCCCTGTGCAGTACTGCTGAAACCAGATGAAAAACACTGGTCTGTAGTTCTCCTTAAGCATGTGCTCCCTCCTTATGCTGCCAGTAATGTATTCTTGTGCAGCTCCTCACATAGAGGTACTACAAAAGGCTGCAGTAAAGCAATAGCAGCTGCTCAGCAGGGAAAATCCAATTGTCTTGCACTGGGCAACTATCAATAGCGTAATATTTTTGATTGTTGCAGAGAGAATGATTTAATTTCCTTCAAGGCAGCCTCAGTCACTTTGGTCCCTTTGCAAAATATTTCTTTTCCTCCAGCTTTAGATCTCTCTTTTGTTGAGACAGGTGTTGAGGAGAAGGATGCATTATAAACAAGAAAAGGTAACAAAGCTGCAAATGTACTAAACCATTGCAAATAAAAAAATATACTTGAAGAGTATGATCTGTAGGAAGTGAAAAAAACATTGAGTGATAGTAAGAGTACTCAGAGGAAATTGGTAAGTTAAGCCACCTCCTCACTGAAAGGTAGCATAAGTGTGTTAATAAGGTAAGGCAGGCATAGGATGGAAAACTCTAAGCTATTTTGAAGACATACTGAATTATGACCCTCAAGTGAAAACTCATTTTTCTGAGGGAGCACAATGAAAAAAAAACCAAGTTGACCACTAATGGCCTTTCCCTTTCCCTTTCCTTCTTTTTCTTTTCTCTCTGTCCTGGGTTCAGCAGTAGCAGTCATGACTCCCTCTCCCTTCTTCCAAAAATGAAGTGTTATTGGTCAGTCTGTAATACTGAGTCATTAAGGGAATTCATGCATCCCCTTCTTTTTGTGTTATTTCTCTAAAATACTTAAATAGAAAGTGGATAGGTTGTGATTTTTACCTAGCATAATAAAATTCAGAGTAGTAAAAATCAGAAACAGCAACTGAAAATAGCGTCTTACTAAATTGCATCAGGATAAATACATAGAAGTAGTATTGTCTTGACTCCTCAATACTTAAAGCCATTTTGCATGGCTCTTGTTTCATGCTGTTGAACAGTATGTTATTGAAACTGTCTCTATAATTAACATCAGACATTAACAGCATAACTGTGGGAGTTTCCTCTTCTGCCTGTCTATTGACTACGAAGAGTTATCCCTTCCTGGAGCATTTGAGCCAGCAAAGTTCTGCTTGGCTAAAAGTGTGTGGGGGAAACTTTATTTTCTTCACTGATACAAAAGCGATAAAGTTATCTGTCTGGTGGCTGTGCAGAGCACCCAATGGGTGCCTTTTACAGTCTTCTTGAGGAGGTGGCAGTCAGTAGGGTAGGGTTGCCATTTGGTGATGTGGCTCTTTAAGAAAACCACATCAGGGACTGAATGCCCCTGTGTTGTGTCGCAAATGGAACAGCACTGTGAAGCTGGACCTGCCTTTTTATTCTCGCTCACATCAAGGATCCCTGCAATGGTGTAGTCTTTGTGCTATGTTATTGAGGTTATTTCTGTTGTTTTCCTTTTCAAAATAATGTTCTGGCAGCTTTTGTCTGTCTTGATAAAACATCTTTCTTACTTGAGCAGAATTTGCTAGCTCAGTGGAGGTCCATTACCTTTCAGTGTTGTATTCACGTACAAAAATGTTTTCTGTAAAGCCTCTATTAGCTGTGATTTAATGGTTATTCAATGCCGCTGTTTTAAAAGAACCTCCTCAATTTAAGAAGTCATTTCTTCTCAGTTTGACACATGAAATAAAAAGAACAACTTTGTGCTGACTGACTTGGACTTTGCCGTGTTAATGACTAGCTAATCCAGGTCCAAAAAGTAAAGCTTTGGAACTGCTGCCTGATATAAATATAAAAGAGTTGCTAAGTACTGAAGCAAGAGCTTGGCTCAGAAGCTGCATAAAGTTGAGCCAGTCATAGCCCTGTGCTTATATGGGCTTCATTCAGACTTCTGTGGTGCTTACCAGTTGTGGCCTTAAAACTGAGGATTAAAAACTTAGTATATGACACTGCATGAAAGGTGAGTCAGCCACATGAGCAAAGAGCAAATAACCAACATTGCATGCGGTCAGACTTTGGAAAATAAACGCAGGCTATGTACATTGGAAGTAATTCAGCAGGCCAGATCCCAGAATAATGAACATCTGCATGTGCTCCAAATGAGGTGAAAAATTGCTAGGTGTATGAAGCCCAGATATTGCAGGAACGGGGCCAACAGAAATAAGTACTGAATACAGCACCCCCTTGGCAAGGCAACCTAGGGAGAATGTACTATATTAGTACATTTGATACTAATTATTTTGAAAGGGCAAATTACAGATGGATGAGGTTTAAAAGATAACAGTACAGATAACAGGTTACTGTTGTGAGGGCCCAGAGTGCAAAAAAGGGCATCCCCAAATGTCCATGTGAGCTGGAAGCAGGGTTTTGACAATGGTACTGGGGGAGAAGAGGGGGCTGTGGAGTGAGAGGAGTGCTTCGGGCTCCTCCACTGCAGCATACCCGAAGCTGCTTGCAACAATCCAACATCATGCAATTCTGAGTTGGCTGCGCAGGGTGAAATGAGGACAGCAGCATATCTGTCTTTTCATAATGTGCATGCGTGATAAAAGGGGAAGATTTGCTATTATTCAAATCCAGTCTTACAAACCTGCAGGAGGTAATTTTTTTTCTCTTTTCCTGGCTATTAATTCTATGCAGAAAAGACACTTTACCAATATTTTCTTTTCAATCCTGAGCTATAGGCACTCTTTCCAGAGAAGTACTTGAGGGAACACTCTCAAAGAGGATGCCATATGGTATCCTTAGGGGTGTATTTCAGATAAAGGATTTTAAGCTTTAAGTTTATTCATCAAAATGTGCTGTGTATGATGTGTACGAGTTATTTTCTACACAGTGGGGGGAAACCCACCTGATGCTTGCTTGCAGGGCATTCAGGTAATGCATAAGATACGAGGCCAAAAGGGGATATGTGGGCATGACTACTGCTGATGCAGGCTTCCCTGGGCTGGAGCTGGGGTGTCTTTGCTCCTCCTGTCCCTGCATAGGTAACATGGTTTCCCCTTTAACTACAGTTCCATAAACCCCAAATATGAGGAGTCCAATACCCAATGCATCATCTGAGCTCCTCTGTCTCCTTGTGGTCCTGTAAAATTCCCCTGAAGGAGAATCTGAAGGAGAATTAGGATTGCTTATGTTTTCTCTGTGACTTTTTCTATTTAAGAAAGACCATTGCAATATTAGCTTATTTATTTCTTTGACAAGATTTTGGATTAGGTGGTTGACTGCCAGAGTTGGGTTATGGCTGAGCTGTATTACATTCCCCTCCCCCTCCCAATTTTCATGCTTTAGTAAGTAGTGGTGTGTGGTTTTTTTTTTTTTTGTTTTAAATGTGAAATACCAGAACTGCTATTTTTGACTATCTAAATTTATTAAAAAATGGTTTTATCCTCCAAGGGATGACTCAAGCATGTAAAAAAAACCCCTGCAATGTCAGAAGCTGTTTGCTCCCCACGCTGTCTCATGAAAAGGCTGTCCCTGGAGCCTTTTCCTGTGTCACAGCAGCTGGAGAAGCCCTTCTCCCTGCTGAAGGGGAAGAGACTGACAGAACAAAGTGGTTCATTGCCTGCTGTGTTGCTGATCCCTCCTCAGCCAGCTGGTTTCGAACACAGCCTGGTGTCAAGTTTGTATTTCAGAAAGCTAATTATGCTGCAATTTGTGGATGGCTATAGTTGAGAATTCACAGCAGAAGTTCCAAAATAAGTGTTTACTGCATTGCTGTGTGTTTGTTTTCACCTGTGTAAGATGCTCTAGACTTGCCTAAACAAGGTGGGGAGATGTTTTAAATGAATCGGGGTGGAAATGAGGTATTGGTTTTTGGAAAAAGCCTTCCAGATATTCAGGAACAAATAAATTTGAAACTTAGTGAAAATAGTTTGATGTGTTTCACCCCTGATAAGGCAAAAGTGGCAAAACGCTTGTGTCCTTGGTGTATAGAGCCTGTTCATCTGCAGGATCCGCTACATTCCAATTAAGGGCTCAGTGAGGGACCTGACCCACAGTTTGGAGGTGCTTATTAAATTCCTTTGGTTTCAGCCACTTGCTGTGATAATACAGGATAAAAATTTTACTTAGAGGCTAATAAGAAACCATTCTCATTGGAGACTTTGATGCGATGGCTTCAGAGGAGATGTAAAAGTTCTAATTTAATGCATAATGAATAATCTAGTTTCCTGTTTGAAACTTCAGGCTTTCCCTCAGCACTGTTTCATGCACCAGCTGCTTGTGATGCCTCTCTTGTGGCAAATAATAAAAAAAAAAGGCATTGGTAGTTGAAGAAAATTAAGAAATGCCAAGGTCAGGAGACTGCTGACACGGATAATGAAAGAAATTGGGAAGGTGAGAGGGCAGATGGAGTATCAAATGTCTTACAGAAGGCTGAAGTGGAAATTTCATTGTTGAAATGAGCTGGGATAAGATCAGGCCTCTGAAGATGGTTGATGGAGGTTGGCATCTCCACTGCCGATACAGGGAAGGATAGAAAAGGCTGTAGGGCATGGGCGGAAATCTCTCCAGGCAGGGTTGCAAGGGCGATGTGTCAGTAGGATACTGTGAATAAAGTAATATGTTGAATTTGGCAAAACAGAAGGGAAGAAATTGTAGGCTGAGGTAAAAATGAAATGAAAAAGAATAAAAAATACTTTCACTTTAAAAGCACTAGCATTTTGAATTTGGAGGTGAGAAGTGATTTGAAATTTTTTTTGTTTCTGAATATTTTTAGAAATGGAAGAACTTTTTAATTTTCAAGTTTTAAACACCATGTGATCTTTTCTCAAATAACTCAATTAAATGTAAAAGAATAAAATTGTTCTATGAATAATTTCAGTTGAAATGACTGCTTCAATAGGATTTGATCAAAATATTTTGCTCATCTGTCTCAGTGAATAGCATCAGATCAAATATCTTACTGTGTTTAAAGATGGATTTAGGATGGTGTCTTGTTGCACAATTATTGATGAAATTCTTTAAACATTTGTCATCTTGATACTGTGTGCAATCCAGCTTCTCCCACCCTCAGGGAAGGAGAGCTCTTGAATATTCTGAGTGAATTAATTAGTGCACCAGTGGTGATTGTTTCTACCACCTCTGGACAGTACAAAGTTTTTGTTATCTTTCACATAGATAGAAAAAAAAACAACAAAAAAACCAACAGAAGAAATGACTGGAAAATCATTTCTGAAAAGAGCATGATAATGAATTATTAACAGCTCAAATGGCAGTGTCAGGGATACTTGTTTCAATGGGTATGTAGTAAAATTAATTCTACATTTAAGAGAAGAATTAATGATGTAAACTGCTGCTATAATGATGTTTTAATGGCTGGAACAGACTTATTATAAAACAGTTATTTTACCAAATGCAGTCCAAACGCTACAGGAGGTTAAATATACCCCTTAAGACTAAGTGAGTTATGCAAAGCTTTGGAATTTAGATTTATCTTTGAACTAAACTTTTTACTTGAATTATCAGTAAATATTAGATTAAAACTCTCTTGCTAAAAGTACATTATCACTTCAGGTGACCTGAATTATGACTATAACCTCCAGTGAAATGGTCACTGTATACTTGCAGTTTTGCTCATAGAAATAATTAGATTCTTGTTGGAGTTTTTTAGGACCAGTAAAGCTTTGCACAGCAAATAGTTCACTTCAGGTTATGCATGCTGCTTTTCAAATCTCTGCATTATAGAATTGCAGATTGATTGTGGAGAACCCAAGAAGCAAAAAGCTGTTTAAATCAGATGAATGGCGTAATAGATATGCCCAGCTTTTTTTAGGTGTTTGCTGTAGTCTTCATATTAAATAGTATAGGTACACAACTTATAAAGAAACTGCTGAACAAGCACAGGGACCACTTACTGTAAAGCTTCTTACTGCTATTATTGTTAATCTATAATGTGCAAACTATACATCTTTAACAGCAAATTTACAGATGAGTGATAGACGATATGGCATGCTTTACAGCAGTTCTTCATAAGGAAACAGACTTGATCCTATCTGTCACTAGAAATTTAATTGGAAAAAAAGTACGAACTAACTGCTTAAATTCTTGTTAATGGGCAAGTAAACTAAATTGTCTCTAGAATTACGGTTCAATAAGCTATTTAACCTCTGTGCCTCAAACTCGCATGGAAAGCAGTGGATGAAATGACTCTGATTCAGTGTCTCACAAGCTAGTGGTATTGTGGTTATAAGGAGGAGGACTCCCCTACTCAGGAGTGGTTCTGCCTCTAGGTCCAGGCATATTGTGTGAGTATATGAAACTGCAAAATTATATCACAGAACAGTATCAATCTGTGTAAGATAAAGGCGTCTAACTTGTGGTAATGTTTCAGGTGCTGCTTCTTTGTCTTGCATAACATATTAAAATGGAATAAAAATAATGTGTGCTCTTATATTTTAGGGATAGTGTCTTTCTGCAGTGCTATGAAGAGCAATCTAATATAATCTTCATTGCTAAACTTGACCTGCTTTTTGAATACTAATGTGAAAACAGAAGGAACAAAAAAGGGCTGAAGTTGGAGCCTGGTTCTTGTTCTTGTTAAATGATAGGAGGTGGTTGAGAATCTATGCGCAATAGCCTATGAGATCATTTTAAGCACTTCAGTGGTTTGTGATTAGGATTTTATTTAGAAGAGAGAGGGAAGGGGAGTTCACCCACCCCTAAAAGCATTGCCATTGTGAAGTAGTTAAATACCACAGTGTCTGACCTTACGTTGACACCAGTAATGTGCCAAACACATCAATACTGTTCAGCTACTGATGTGCAGTGTGCTTGCAAATGCACAAGCAGACACAGAGCATAAAACTTCAGCAAAAAGACTTTGGCTTTAAATGGGGGCAGAGCACTGCCCTTGCTGTCTGTCAGGCAGACCAGCACTGGAGTGGCCCCTGATTTAATGATGATCAAGCTTTATGTCTCCAAAGAAAGCTGGGTGCGCTTCTGGATATGAGGGAATAAAATGCATGTCAGGAGAACTGTCCAAACTCTCTAGGTCTGGAGGTTTTGGCTCCAAAATAAAGTGTTAAAAGCTTCAGCCTGCAAACCAAGGTATGAAAGGAGACTTGAGATATGAATGTACTCTCAGGAAAAGCTTGCAGAAAGCTGGTCTGGGAAAATAATGTGGGAAGGAAAAGCGTCTGAGCCTTAGTCAGGCTTATTTCTTTCATTTAGCAGATCTATCTTCTGCAAACAGTTACAAGGACGTGGTCTGGTTTGGATGTTTTTGAGAAAAGAGTTTCTCTTCATGTATAGCTCTAACTCAACAAGATGATAAAGCTTTAGGTTATTTTAAAGCAAATTTAGTAAAAAGAAGGCATTCTTCACCCCATGTGGTGATAAATCTGGAAATGGGGTGTCTGTGTTCCTGTTGGCCGAAATGGTAAGGCAGAGAAACCTCTTTTGATATCAGAAGGGGAGGAAATGGGCCAAGAATGCATCCTGCTGTTACTAGGGATTTAACACCTCAAAAAGCTCTCCTTGTACAATTAGTACGGTTCTACATCATTTAATAAGGGTGAAGAAAAACCTACATATGTCTGTGCAACATTTTCTGCATTGCTGTCTGCTAGTGGCCTATAATTATATAGCCATGAAATGACTGTCAGGAAGTAAGACCAGCCAGCCATTTCTGATGTTAATTGCACATAACACATGGCTTTGGAGTGTTTGTCAGTGGCCCTCATCTCTCAGGTTTCACTGTTCATTGCAGGTATCAAGGGTTTTTGATTGTTCCTTCTAAATGCAACTGGGGAAAAGGGAGCAGGCAGCTGCTCCCTGATGGGTGTATTTCCAGTGTCATCTGTCACTCCCAAAGCATGGCCAGCACACGCACCACGTTGTTGCAGTTGACTCCTAATAGTGAGTTTACCTTAATGACTTGCTGTGGCTCTTGGTGTCTCTGCTGCCTAAAGCTATTAATCAGCAGAGGATGGATTGTATTACAGCAAATGATGCTACTGCTGTTACCTTCTTGCTGTGGCACAGTAAATAAAAAGCTTTAGGGAGTCTGGTTTTGGAACCTTTCTGATATAAATTTATGGCAGATTTAAAACTTCTTTGGGTCCAAGAAATCCAGTGTTTAGAAGGCTGGTGCCAGAGGTGCTCTAAAGAGGTGTCTGTTGACATTGTTTTCCTTTTAACTGTGGCAGAAATGTAAATCTCAATTTACTGTGCATATATCATACCTCCTGAAGAGCAGATGGTGCCCTGCAAGCTGACAGTGAGCAGGCTTTCTGTGTCTTGGTTTTCTCTCTCTCTGTTTCCCATATGCCCTTTGAAAATGAAAAGAAAATAAGTATGTGCATGTTTGGGTTTACTTTAATGGCACTAAGCTAACTTGCTGTCCTTGCACTCCCCTTTTAAGTGCAGGGTGCTGGAAGCTCCTGCTCTGGTTGGGGTTTTCTTGTCTCACGGTGCTATGGAGTTTGGTGTGTTTGTGCTGTGACCTTCAAGATTGATCTCCATAAGCAGCATTTTTATAAGTGCCAAACACTCCACAGAAGCAACTCTGTTCTGCACCCCTCATCAGGAGGGCTGCCTGGGAGGGGAAAGGCCCTTCTAGGTGGCTAGGAAAAAAGTAAGTTGTGATCCCAGTTAATCTCTCTGTAGCCTACTGAAGTAATGACCTTCTTCAAGGGATGATGCAAAGAAGGTTGCTCGGAGGGAGAATTATTTCAAATGGGGAGAAGAGATTGATTTGTGAAGGTACCCTACTGGCAACAGAGGCCTCAAATAAAAGGAAAACATAATAGAGTAGAAGTACCCATTATTCTGTGAATAAGAAAAAAGAGATTTTTTTTTCCCTGATTTTACGCTAGCATAATAGTGAGCTACTAGCAATAAATTCCATTAATTTTGTGAGTAATGGAAAAGAAGCGACAATTATGACTATTACTAGACAAAAGAGAAACCTTTGTGGCTTCAGTGAAAGTCTGTTGAAAGAGAAATAAACATGTAAATGATGCCAGAGAATCATTAGCTGGTGGTGATAAATATAATAAGTGACATTAGTGCAGAAATAGCAACACTAGCAATTTGTGTGCATTAAATTTTCTATGAGACCTGTTGTAGTTCAGTGAAAGAGAGAATGATGGCATGGTACCAGAGGACATTGCTGTTGTTTGGTATGTGCAGTGTGAGTCCAGCATAATTTTAGAACATGTTGGTTGGGCTTATAGTTACAGTTTAGATGGAAATTCTTCCTGCTGTAAGTGTGAAGGCAATACTGTTAAAAGCAGCTTGGAAAATAAAATTATGGAGACACAGTGAACGGAAAAACAGAGGACAGTGAATTGTGGAAGAAAAATGTTACCGTAACAAAAAGATGTAACGTGTGTGTATCTGAGTCCTGGTTTTGTCTGCCTGTACGATTAATGGATCTGGCAGAAAGGAGCATGTGTGCAAATCCAGAAATTTGGTGCACTGATTAAGTAGGTGTGCGCACAGTCAAGGGAGTAGGTTTGCATGTACATCAGTTAAATTCAGTTTCTCCATACATAGACAAAGGTTAGCAGATGAGCTTTTGTGTCTTGTCTAGTTTCTTTTCTTCTGAAAGGGTCTTAGACAGAAAAATCTTTGTTAGAAGCACAGTCAGGAAAGGGGTTTTGCATAGTGT